GGCGGCCGACGCACGGGCCCACGGTCGCGGCCGCCCCCCTCTGGCCGGGTTCGAACGCCTGCGAGGCCGCACCCATCTGTCCGAAGACGCGGGGCACAACACACTGCAATCATTCGAAATACGGAACCGCCAGTGGGCAATTAAATTTGAACGCCGCATCCACGAGCAGCACCAACGGCATCGAGTCGTAGAGGATTGCATACCAGCAGGGCGCGCGCGCACCGCATGCGAAAGTCACGGGCCACCTCGTCTAAAGATCGAAACAAAAAAAAGATTTGGAGGCACGAGTTGCCGATCACCGCGGCACCCCAGCACGCGGCCTTGCCCCGGGACCATGTCTGGACGTCGTCATCCCGAACCATCGACCAAACGTCCATGGGTTGAAATCAAGCCCATTGCCACAACGTTTTGGTGGAGATCCCACACATGATCACTGGATGGGCCAAGACGTAGTGGCTTCGATCGCGCCCCACAGCAACGCCATCTCTGCCAAGCCCCGAACCCGGTAATCTTTCGAAGTCCACTGGAGCGTAGCCGACCACACCAACTCCCGCGCGCGCACCCATTCGCCGACGAGCGGTCTCGACGGCCGCCTGGGTGATCGGTTTCAACGGATTGTCACGGGCATCGGCCTCGGCGCGCCCGAATAGGTCCCGGACGTCTGCCAACGCCACGAGCGTCGGGGACAACGGCCGCCTGTAGTGGAGCACCCTACGATCCGCGATGTCACGCGGGTGGTATAGGGGTCATGGAACCTGAGATGAGCTCGACATCTCGTAGCATCCACTGGTTGAAAGATTTGGGAACGACCCCGCGCGCCGTGAAATCCCTGGATCCATCCACGACATCCACGCAGCGATGACTGCACGGCCAACCTCTGAGTTCTGGCAGACACCGCCTCGGCAAAACGCCAACGTGCCTCCCAGACTGAGAGCCACGTCACCCCTGGCCGAAGAAGCCCCTGCCATTTGTCATGGCGGGCCCCTGTCTGCACATAGAAATTCACGCACGAAAGCAGGGGGATCCCTGAGGAGATTGCCACGCGCCGCTCGGCATTTCCATCATCCGCAGATGCCCGCAGCCACGGGCTCCACGTCAAATCAGCCAGGCGACCACCGCGCGGACTCGCGTTCACCGCTGGGCTGAGGCACCCCTCAGGTCGAGCCGTCGCTCTCGAGCTGTCTCGCGCACTTCGCGGACTTTGAACTGCGGGCCGCGCGCCCTCGACGCCCCCGGCACGACATGCGAGCGACGAGCGGCAACACTCTATGCGACTGGCCGCGGGAGCAAACCCGCCCCCCCTCAGATCTCAGACCAGAGAGCTCCCGAGGCGCCTTAAACGTGGACTCGGGGGGCGGGGGGCCCTGGGCCAGCTCGAGACAGCCCGGGCCCCTGAGCGCAGGGAACAACAGACTGCCCCTATTGCTCGGCGGGGGGGGCTGGCTCGAATTCAGGCCGGGGGATGCACCGCGAGAGGCCTCCCCGGCCCCGGGCCGCGGAGCCGCCGCTGGGCCTGGGCGCTGGGGGGAGGCGGGGGGGAAGCGGCATTTGGGTCACACCTGCCGCTTGATTCGGCATCTGGGCAAAAGTTGAGCACGCCCCCCCACGGGCCAGGTGCATCTGGCCACTCGCCAAGGCAGCCCGGGGCCATCAAAATCGGGCGCGGGCGGGGGGCCCGCCCCAAGTGGGCCGCCACCGCCCCGCGAGGCCCAAGCTCTGACTGGACACGTCCCCCAACAAAGCACTAACATGTTGAGCGCGCTTCTGAGCGGCTTCTTGCTGGGCCACCCGGCGCTGAGCCCTGGCGACGGGGCTCTTGGAGCCACGAAGTGGGCGCACATTTGGGCCTCGGAAGCCGCGGCAAATTATCGGAAACGTCGCGGGCCCTCGCGATCAGCTGGAAACCTGCGGCCCCAGGGACGTGTTGAAGTCTACGCGCGGCGCCCAACTCACATCGCGCACAAGCTGCACATCCTTCACAGACGGGACCGGCGACGGCGTTAACATGTAGCCCAACAGGGAATCGACGCCTTTTTCCGATGGGGGCACGACCCGCCCTGTCCGGCGCAGTCGAGCTGCTGGGCGAAGCACGGATGGGGCCATGTTGTGAAGTCCCCCGCGGCCCCGCGGTGATTCGTGGAAGCTGAACCGACGTGAGATGACCACTCAGCCGTCCAAAATCAGAATCTGCGCAAGCCCTTCGCATCAATCGATGGATGTCCACACAGCAAAACTACAATGAGACTGAAGACCCGAGAAATGCACGACCACGGGAAGGAAACCGTCGACCAGCGAAGAACCTGGACAGCAGCGAGGCAGAAGCCCTTGCCCCAGGAAGAAAGTGAGCATGCAAATACTTGCGACACCCAATAAAAAAAAACACCACCTTCGCTTGACCTCTTCTGCTTGTTGGCTGAGGCGACTTTCCCAGACTCAACAGCGGCAGTGTAGTACAATCAGAAATTTGGTTGTCTGGCCCGTCCGTCCCATTCGAGAACTTTTTCAGGACGACGCATGCGGGCCAAGAGGAGGCCCCAGAAATGATAGAGCGACGGATTCTTAGCTATATACTCCCAAAACTTGTCCGTGAGCGAAGTGACGCTCGCGACAAGCATGTGGCTGATCCCACCACCCTCCTGAACGATGACTCGGGTCCGAAGAGCACACGAAGCCGTTTGTCACGATGCCGCCGCCGTCGCCCTGCCACCCGCCGCCGACGATGAAGCCGCGGAGGCAGCACTGCCCGTCCCTTTGGCCTTGGCCACCTCCTGCTGAACTGCGAAACGGGCGTCGGACAGTTTCTTCGCCTCGTCGGCCAAGCGTTGGTCCTTCTGCTTATCCTGTTCCTTCCACAACGCGGCCTCGCCCTAAGCGGGGGCCTTATCCTATTTTGGGGGACTTTTCGTCCTGGCCAGCACTGACAACACCTCATTCAACGTTCTTCATCTTCCTGGCCATGTGGTCCACGATCTGCTCTTGAAACTCTCGGGCCTGCTCCGACCAACTGGTGATATCCTGTTTTTTGTTTGTCCGCGAATGGGAGACAAGCTCTCTTCGTGCATTCGTTGATTTCGTGCCTGCTCTCTGCTCTGTGAGCAGAGATGTTCCTCGATGGTCTTCGCCGGGAAAAAAGCGCACACGCGCGAGCGATGCCAAGTCCTCACGCAGCTCGTCAAGGGTTTGCTTCTCCTGCGGGGTGAAGTCACTGGGGGGGACGACGAGGAGGAGGAGGAGGAGGAGAAGGAGGAGAAGGAGGAGGAGGAGGAAGAGGAGGAGGAGGAGAAGAAGAAGGAGAAGGAGGACAAGGAGAAGGAGGAGGAGGAGGAGAAGAAGGAAGAGGAGAAGGAGGAGGAGGAGGAGGAGGGGGACAGGGAGGAGGAGGAGGAGGAGGAGGAGAAGGAGGAGGAGAGGGAGGGGGAGGAGGAGGAGGAGGAGGAGGAGGAGGAGGAGGAGAAGGAGGAGGAGGAAGAGGAGAAACAGGAGGAGGAGGAGGAGGAGAAGGAAGAGGAGGAGGACGAGGAGGAGGAGGGGTAGGAGGACATCTGCTCTAGGTGCGGGGGGGGCCTTTCGTGGTGCGGGTGGCGTTGGTTGGCCTCCTGGAGGTCCGCAGCCTGCGCCAAAACTCTCGCCGCCGTCGCCCTGGCCACCCTGGCCTCGGCCACTTCGACGGCGGCGGCCTGCTCCTTCTGCTCTGCAGCCGCAAGCGATGCCCTCGAGCGCAGAGCCGACGCCACGATTTGCCCGTGCACGTGTTCGGCGTTCCCGTGGACCCCGTCGGGTCTCCTCATCGCGTCGACTGGATTGGCCGTCGCCGATGGTGGTGGCTCTTGGGACAAGCGTAAGACATGGGGGTTCAAGGTGTTTTTGCAACTCCTGGTCACTTGTGGCCCCATCGCCTTCTGCAGGAGGCTGGAGATATCGCTCGAGTCGCCCTTGCCTGACCGACGTGGGGCCTGCTGACCACCACTCACAATCAGCGAACGGGGTGGCGCTACGACTGCGATGATTGAGAATGCCATCCTGCTGCTGAGCTGATCCTCCTCCTCCCCGTGGCAGTGCTGACAGACATCGTCGGTGGACAACGTATCCTTTTGACGATTGAACCGAAGACTTTTGTCCCTGGACCTTTTGAACCACTCGAGTGACTCGAGCTTACTGCGGGAACCACCACACCGAAGCTGATTCATCACCATAATTGGGTTATTCGCACATCGGCAGCACACAGCAGATCCATAGCTGCGGCGACGACGACATGCGGCACAATCGACCCGTAGCATAAGGATGCACGATAGAAGATGAAAGGCATTGGAAGGCCACGTCGAGGTTTTTCGAGCAGGGCGCGGCCGACGAAACTGGCCAAGGATGGGCCGAGGAGGCAAGGATGCAAGGGTACCCTTGGGATGGTTGCCCATCCTTACTATGCGGGCTGTCGTTTCCCACTGACCACACAGCCAGGCTCTGCGCGCCCGACCGCACGGTTCGCAGGCTCTCTCGGGAGCCAATTCGCTCAGTTCCCGACGTAATCGATGTCCACGAGGTCCACCGCCGCGTAAAAGACATGTTTATGTCTTAGTCGTGACCTCAGTGGCGAGCTGACACCGAGCTCAGGTCGGCCAGACGCTGCGCGGAGGTGCCGAGGCTGTGGCCCGGAGGGGATGCACGCTCCCCCACCTGCGCCACGCTTGCTTGAGGGAGGGAAAAAGAGGAAGAGGAGGAGGAGGAGAAAGTAGGAGGAGGAGCAGGAGGAGGAGGAGGAGGATGAGGAGAAGGAGGAGCAGGAGGAGGAGGAAGAGGAGGAGGGGGAGGAGAAGGAAGAGGAGGATGAGGAGGAGGAGGAGAAGGAGGAGGACGAGGACGAGGCGAGCGGTGGTTCGGCTCAAGGAGGAGAACGGAGAGAGGAACGGAGGCAGGGAGGATGAGGGGTCGTGGAGCGGAGGCGGGGGCTGGCGATAGCCCTCCTTCTCCCTCGCGGGCAGCGCCTCCAGGTCTCCGCGCACGGCCTTGCGGGCTGCTCTTCTGCGAGGATAGGATAAGGATACGGATAGGAACAGCATAGCGCTAAGGGTAAGGGAAGGGAGGGAGAGGGAGAGAGGGAGAGAGAAAGGATTCCAGGTTTTCCGCCATCACGTAGTGACATCAAGAGCTGGCAGCCGCCCCTGACCTTGAAGACCCGCAGGACAACAAGGAACACGAAGCGCCCGAACTGGGAAACAATCTCTCGAATACCGCACGCCACCAGCGTAAAGAGCCAGAGCCTTCCACTTGAATGCGGTACACGCCACCATCACCCAACGACAGAGGACGCGGCACATCACAGACCGGCAGACAGACAGTCCGACAGGACAGGCGGGTAGACAGGCGGGCAGACAGACAGGACAGGCAGGACAGGCGGGCAGGCGGGAGGACACACAGACGGGCTCGCGGGCAGGTGGCGGTGATCTCTCCTCCAAGGCCACACCTGGGGTGACTCGGCAAACACATCACGTCGCGAGCTTATTGTGTGTTCCCTCCCTCGCGCTCATCCTCCCCATCCTGATCGTAATTGTCCTCCGCTTCTTCCCTCCATACTCATGATCATGCTCCTCCTCATCGTCGTCCCCGTAATCATCACCACCATCGCCACCATCACCACAAATATCATACGTAATCGCCCTCCCTCCTCCACCCTCCCTTTCTTCCTCACCATCATACACTAATTGCAGTCGTCATAGATACACTCACCATCGCCATCATCATCAACCTCATCAGCATCATCATCAGCAGCATCATCGTCATCATTATCGTCATTAGCATCATGACCACAACTATCATAATCAGCAGCAACAACCACATCAATGAAAACCGAAAACCAACAAACAACTACAACAACAACAACAACAACAACAACAACAACGACAACAACGACAACAACGACAACGAAAACAACAACAACAACAACAACAACAGCAACAACAACAACAACAACAACGACAACAACAACAACAACCACAACAACAACAACAACAACAATCAGTTTAAGACTGTTCGGTTATATCTGCTCGCGTGCCATTCAACACTATATTCTGGACCCTCGATACCCGCCCTCATCGTCTTCTACCCCCTTGGGGGTATATCTTGCTTAGCTGCAACGTGAAGGAGGGGGGCTAGGAGCAGAAAACACGTGGCAGAACCAGATGGGCAGATCGGGCGGGTAGACCCTACCAAACGGGTCGGGAAGGAGGGCCAGGCGGCCAGGTCGAGCAGGCGGATTGCTGAAGCGTGCGTCCTGCATGAATCGCGAGGAAGTCTCGAGCGATAGCTCGATTCCAAAATCAATCGTGAAGAAATCCACAACGAGAGCCTGACTCCTGAATGTCGAGGGCGCGGCGCTTCAATCAATTACGAGGAAGTCCACGCGAGATCGCGATTCCTGGATAAATTGGAGAGGAAATCCCGCACGAGAGCGCAATTTGGTAATACACGGTGAGGAACTATCAGGCGGGAGTCGTTGTTGTTGCAGTTCGGGGGCCAACCAAGCAATGTGAGGAGGAAGACTTTCTGCGAGAAAAAACGGCGTGCGAGCCACGGGAAGGGCACTTCAATTGAATTAGCCTGACGAGGGACCCAACCATATGCAGGTGTGAGTACCGCAAAAATGATTCATTTGTTCGGTGGTGGTCCCTATGAGGCAACGAACCGCGGTAGGGGTGCGCCGACATGAGTGGTGTGGTACACAACGCGAACGCAAACGATTGATCCGAGTACGTAGGGAGACTGAGCGCGGGTGAATATGCGCGCGTGCGTCTGACTGTGAATGAATCTGCGTGCGAGCGAGTCTACGTGCATGAATGCGAATATGACAAAGCGTGGCGCAATTGTGTATGAACGTCAATAGTTTGACAACGACTGCCTCTGAATACTCGTGACGCTGGGCGTGGCCGCCACAAGGAGCTTCCCCGGGACTCCCCGACGGCATCGCCCGCGCGCCGCGACGCCAATGTCGGCGCGCCCCCCCGCGAGGATCGCGCCCGCTTCCTCCCCTTCCTTTACTCCCTCTTTGCCCGCGCACTCAAAAGTCCAAGGCTGCGGGCGCAGCGCAGCGCGGAGTCCCCGCGACGCGCGCAGGTCGCCCCGGAGGGGTCCCAGCGACGCGCGCGGGTCGTCCACTGCGCGGAGCAAAGAGAGCTAGCTGGCTGGCTGATAGCGGGCAAGGCTCTTGCCGCTGGGCAGAGCGACGACGGGCGAGCGAGGCGCTGGGCAGAACGCAGCACGGAGCCCCCGCGACGCGCGCAGGTCGCCCCGGAGGGGTCCCAGCGACGCGCGCGGGTCGCCCGCTGCGCGGAGCAAAGAGAGCTAGCTGGCTGGCTGGGACCTGCGGTGGGGCTCCATATGGGGCCACGTAGCGCTGTACTGGGCAAGGGAGACGCATGCGGACTGCGCCACGGGGACCTTCGGTGGAGTTCCCTATGGGGCCACGAAACGTGTGAGGGGTGTGCCGAAATTAATGGCGGGGACGCATGCGGACTGTGCCAATGGGACCTTCGGCGGAGCTCCTATGGGGCCACGAAACGTGTGAGGGGTGGGCCGAAATGAATGGCGGGGACGCATGCGGACTGCGCCACGGGGACCGTCGGTGGAGTTCCTGTGGGGCCACGAAACGTGTGAGGGGTGGGCCGAAATGAGTGGCGGGAACGCATGCGGACTGTGCCACTGGGACCTTCGGCGGAGCTCCTGTGGGGCCACGAAACGTGTGAGGGGTGTGCCGAAATGAATGGCGGGAACGCATGCGGACTGTGCCACGGGGACCTTCGGCGGAGCTCCTATGGGGCCACGAAACGTGTGAGGGGTGTGCTGAAATGAATGGCGGGGACGCATGCGGACTGTGCCACCGGGACCTTCGGCGGAGCTCCTATGGGGCCACGAAACGTGTGAGGGGTGGGCCGACATGAATGGCGGAGACGCATGCGGACTGTGCCACCGGGACCTTCGGCGGAGCTCCTATGGGGCCACGAAACGTGTGAGGGGTGTGCCGAAATGAGCGGCGGGGACGCATGCGGACTGTGCCAATGGGACCTTCGGCGGAGCTCCTGTTGGGCCACGAAACGTGTGATGGGTGTGCCGACATGAGTGGCGGGGACGCATGCGGACTGTTCCACTGGAACCTTCGGCGGAGCCCCTATGGGGCCACGAAACGTGTGAGGGGTGGCCGACATGAATGGCGGGGGCGCATGCGGACTGTGCCACTGGGACCTTCGGCAGAGCTCCTATGGGGCCACGAAACGTGTGAGGGGTGTGCCGAAATTACACACCCACAGGGACCTTCGGTGGAGCTCCCTATGGGGCCACGAAACGTGTGAGGGGTGGGCCGAAATGGGTGCGCGGGACGCATGCGCACACACCCACTGAGACCTTCGGTGGAGCTCCCTATGGGGCCACGAAACGTGTGAGGGGTGTGCCAAAATGGGTGTGCGGGACGCATGCGGGCACACCCACTGGGACCTTCGGTGGAGCTCCCTATGGGGCCACAAAACGTATGAAGGGTGTGCCGAAATGGGTGTGCGGGACGCATGCGGGCACACCCACTGGGACCTTCGGTGGAGCTCCCTATGGGGCCACGAAACGTGTGAGGGGTGTGCCGAAATGGGTGTGCGGGACACATGCGGGCACACCCACTGGGACCTTCGGTGGAGCTCCCTATGGGGCCACGAAAACGTGTGAGGGATGTGCCGAAATGGGTGCGCGGGACGCATGCGGGCACACTCACTGGGACCTTCGGTTGGGCTCCCTATGGGGCCACGAAACGTGTGAGGGGTGGGCCGAAATGTGTGTGCGGGACGCATGCGGGCACACCCACTGGGACCTTCGGTGGAGCCCCCTTATGGGGTCACGAAACGTGTGAGGGGTGGGCCGAAACGGGTGTGCGGGACGCATGCGGGCACACCCACTGGGACCTTCGGTGGAGCTCCCTATGGGGCCACGAAACGTGTGAAGGGTGTACCGAAATGGGTGTGCGGGACGCATGCGGGCACACCCACTGGGACCTTCGGTGGAGCTCCCTATGGGGCCACGAAACGTGTGAGGGGTGGGCCGAAATGGGTGTGCGGGACGCATGCGGGCACACCCACTGAGACCTTCGGTGGAGCTCCCTATGGGGCCACGAAACGTGTGAGGGGTGTGCCGAAATGGGTGTGCGGGACGCATGCGGGCACACCCACTGGGACCTTCGGTGGAGCTCCCTATGGGGCCACGAAGCGTGTGATGGGTGTGCCAAAATGGGTGTGCGGGACGCATGCGGGCACACCCACTGAGACCTTCGGTGGAGCTCCCTATGGGGCCACGAAACGTGTGAGGGGTGTGCCGAAATGTGTGCGGGACGCATGCGGGCACACCCACTGGGACCTCCGGTGGAGCCCCCTATGGGGCCACGAAACGTGTGAGGGGTGTGCCGAAATGGGCGTGCGGGACGCATGCGGGCACACCCACTGGGACCTTCGGTGGAGCTCCCTATGGGGCCACGAAACGTCTGAGGGGTGTGCCGAAATGGGTGATGACGATGATGATGGTGGGAGGAGGAGGAGGAGGAGGAGGAGGAGGAGGAGGAGGAGGAGAGGAGGAGAGGAGAGGAGAGGAGGAGGAGAGGAGACGCGGGCCACCGTCTCTTCAAAACGAGGACCCAACACCACAGGATGGTTGGGAATAAAAACACACATATGTTACCAGAGGGGGATCAACCATAATTATTATTCAGTTGTGAAAGTTCAACAGCAACAGCAACGACAACAACAGCAACAGCAGCAACAACAACAACAGCAGCGACAGCAATAGCAACAACAACAATAACATCAACAACAAAAACAACAGCAACAACAACAACAGCAACAACAACAACAACAGAAACAACAACAACAACAACAGCAACAACAACAACAGCAACAACAGCAACAACAACAACAACAACAACCACAACAACAACCACAACAACAACAACAGCAGCAGCAGCAACAACAACAAACAAACAAAC